TGTCTAAAGAGACCATTCAAGATAGTATCATCAAACTTCATGTGCCGATATGTACTGATTATATGTGCCGATACATACTATAGGCTAGCTACACGTTTGTAACTGCATCAACATTTTGTTTTACCTTTTCTTTTGACCTTAACCTAACTTTTCTCAGGTTAGTGTTTAACTCAGAAACATACCATTCAAGACTGAGTATTCTTTTACTTCTTATGGTGATTCATACATTTTTTTTTACTTTGACCTCTCCTTTCACCTTGATCTTACTTTACCTAATTCAGTGAGTATTTAGCTCAGTTTTGAAGAAAGCATTTATATTTTTACTCAACTTCATATGCTGATACACACTTATGAGAGCTATCCAAACCTTAGTGTAGAACAGATGCTCTAACTACTGTGCCAATCGGACGACCTTCAGTTTTGAAGAATCCATTCAAGACATTTTTATCAAACTTTAGTATCCTGATACATTTTGATCTTGCACTTTCCTGTGACCTTGACCTCACTTGTCTTTAATTTGCAATTTGCATAGTATTAAAGAAACCATTTGAGATATTTTTATGTAAGCTTATGCCTGTATGCATTATCTGAATGGAATTTCCATTTTTAAGATTTCAATTTTTAACCCCTTCACTTCCGTACCGGTCAAATTGACCGGTGGCGCGTTAAAACACGACTTCGCGAAACTAAGATCTCCGTATTTTTTTTATGGTAGCATGAAGGTATATAAACTATATATCATCTTTTTGGAAATTTTCTCTACTTTTAAAATATCTAAAAAGATTATGTCTTGATTGCCGGTATTTGATCGATTTTACGTTGTGAAGACAAACGTGACTTTTTGAAAATGGCGTAATTTTTCAAAGCAATTACCGATTTTTCAGACGATTGACAATTTTTTCCTGATTAACTTTATAAAGAAAGTATGGTATATTCTTAACGCATATTGTCTCTGCTTTTAAAATATGTAAAAATTATTGTTATTTCTTTAAAGTATATTTTAAAAACAAGAATTTACTTGCACTTATGTGTTTTTTCTCGATTTTATTCGTAATTTTTAAACAAAGCTCAGTTTTACGTTTATTTCTGTGTTGAAATAGGGAAAACAAAATAAAGCTGGTAAAAGTAGAGAAAATTTCCTTTCCAACAAGCCCTTACAGGCCTTCTTACGCACAGTATTTTATTAATTACGATAATTTGAATTTGTGACCTTCGCATAGTTTTTATGGAAAAGTCGGTCAATATTTACATGTAACGTCAAGGTCGACATTGTTGCGTCTTACTCGAAACAACAAATTCTTTTATATGACTTTTTTGACCATTTAAATATATTTTTTACTGAAATAAATGCATAATACAAAAAAAAAAAATAGATTTCAAAAAACAAATTTATACTATCGTTCTGCCTTTTGTGAAGTGAATGTTAATTTATTGATGTGCATATATTTCTGTAGTGATATACAATGTTGATAAAAATTGTAGATCTAGATTCCCAAAACGTCGATCTTTACTAAAAAAAATCAATCAGATTTTTAATATTGTTGTATTTTGTTATACTGTATACTTATTAATTTGCAATTTAATTAGATCTATATTGGCACGAAATTTAACAATACAAAAACTCGTATTTATAAATAAATACGACTCATCACTGTATGAGTTGATACGAATTGAAAAAAACACGTGTTTCCGCTGTGGTGTAAACAACAACATGATCCGAAATCTGTACCGTGTACGTCAATTTTCATGATAATTTCACGACGAAGATTATCACATCAATGAATCAAATAATACAGACATACCTTTGGTATTCACTGTCGTGATCCCGTGCCGGATTGGACAAAACAAGATGGCGGCGGGAACAAATCGAAAAAGGTAGGTACCTGAGATTTCGGTAAATATCCCCGTTAACCGTCAGATATGCTTGCTCCAAAGATACTGTCGAATTCCTAGTACATTGCTTATTAGCGTGTTTAGTTGCTACTTTTCCTATCGTCTCTTAAATTTGAACATTTTACGACTGAAGACTGCAAATTTTTCGGATTGAGTTTGAAGCGGCATGGAGTTGTTTTTTTCTTCGATTTTGACAGTTTTATACATCCAGCAGCAGGATTTTGGCTAACAAATGATAATTTGGAGTAATTCTGACCTGGTTTTATATGTTTATTTGTTATAACTCATTTTCTTTCAATAATATTTTGATTTAAAAATATTGGCATGTGCTGGATTGGAATCGGTTAATTTTATGGAAAATGTGCCGGATTAGACTGCATTTTTGGTGCGGGATTGGATGATGTTCACGATAGTCATTTATTTAATAACCTTTTTTTCTCTTTTAGTTTTAAGCTATGGATGCATCGTTAAATGAAATACCAGGAGGAGGAATTCAATATATACCTTATCTTACCGAAGAAAATAAGTAATATAAATATCAGGTATGGTCTAACCACCCCCCCCTTCCCTCCGATAAAAAAAATAATTCTTTCCTATTTCTTTTTATCTCAGATTTTATTATATCCATATTTCTTTTACAGAGACCGCTGTTTTGATAAACCCGAAAGAGCTCACGAGTGGGGTCAGATAAAGGAAAAGAGGAACTTTTAGTAAGCAGAGGAACTATCCGCAAAACTCTTATTTATGCGTACAAGAATTACACCGTGCACATGAGGCGAAATTAGCAATCGCATCATCTAGGGTCTTTCCGTCAGGTGTCGGAAAATCAACCTCGAATGTATTAACATCACTGGATGTTAAAAATACACACTTCCTGTTTATTTAAATATATGACTGAAGGGGTTAGAAGTCCCTCCTTTCTCTTGTGTATTTGAAGTAATAGCATTGCATTCAAAATAGTTAAACTCCATACTCCACAGATAAGATGTCTTCCAACATTTACTTTAAAGTTTGTGAAAGGGGGGGGGGGTTCATGGTGTCTATGTAGTACATTCAATCGAGGTTGTTTTTAGACTGCTGGTCGAAAAGGCCCGAAAATTTGCCATGGGCGAAAGTCGGTCCTAATTATAATAAACAGAGTACGTACGCTAGTACGATAGAGTACTTTAGAGTACGCTGGTAACTTTTCATAAATTAATGAAATTCAACTTCTTTTTGTATGTTTTACTACATTAGTTTAACATAATAAACATATCTTTTAAGTAAAATGTGTATGTGTTCCTTGTTTTCGAAGTTAAGCCCATTTTAATGTTAATGATTACAGGTTACGGTTTATTGCTTGATCCCGATACTGATGTTAATGTGTAAAATATTACATTTTAAGTAATGCAATTAATTTAAGTTTTGATTAAATAACATTAAGTTGAAATTAATAAGTCTGAAACAAAATACAAATGAAGTAATCGAGATCGGGGTGTTTATGACCTTTAATGCATTCAATCATGAATCTTGCTTTCTTGTCAAAATATATCTAAAAATACAAATATTTGAGATAAATATTGCAATATTATTTTAATAATACTGATGCAATATTATTTTGATAATATTGCAATATTGATCATTTTGACGAGGACTTTATAATATGGAAAGTCATAATTTTTACAGCCTTTCACTTTTCAACTTTTTGTATTAATTCTAGTATTTTTTTTTATCAATATCAAAGTCTAATTCCAGAGCTTATTATAAGTTATTTTTAAATGCAACTTACTACTGTACAAAACCAAGTACATGTTCGAGCAGAGTACTAGACTTTCATATTGGTTTTATTTTAGAAGACAAAATCAAGTTGTAAGTTCTTTTATACGGCAAATTAAATGAACTTACCGTAAAATTGCTTACAATAAATTTTGGTAATATAGTAACTTGCTAGATATAAAAGTGTCAATGGGGACAAATGCATTTCTTTTTTCTTCTACGGGGAAGAGATATTCAAAAAAGACGAAGAAAATTACTGACATTTTTGGTAACATTTAATAAGATAACAGTCATGGTCACTTTTGGTGTCTAATGATAACAAACAAAAAAAGTAAAATACGTGAAAGAAAAATAATCTTAAAAAGTTTATCAAACATTATACATGAGAGAAATCGGAATAATAGCTTTGAATTTGAAATTATCACAGTATTCATAGTTATACCTTATCTAAGACCCTAAAAATATTTGGTTGACAGTGTCTGATCCTCAGACTTTTTGAATTTCTCTATGTCTGTTTTTGATGTGCCGTCGTAGGTTGTACTTCCACCTGTAGCAGCTGCCGTAGATATTTCATCAATACCTGGACAATTCTGTGCTGTTGACGTATTGTAAAGTGTCACCTCTACAAAATTCCTAAGTGAAGATGCTTAGATAAGCTATATTAAATTCTCCCTGGTATTTCATTTAGCGATGCATCCATAGCTTAAAACTAAAAGAGAAAAAAAGGTTATTAAATAAATGACTATCGTGAACATCATCCAATCCCGCACCAAAAATGCAGTCTAATCCGGCACATTTTCCATTAAAATTAACCGATTCCAATCCAGCACATGCCAATATTTTTAAATCAAAATATTATTGAAAGAAAATGAGTTATAACAAATAAACATATAAAACCAGGTCAGAATTACTCCAAATTATCATTTGTTAGCCAAAATCCTGCTGCTGGATGTATAATACTGTCAAAATCGAAGAAAAAAACAACTCCATGCCGCTTCAAACTCAATCCGAAAAATTTGCAGTCTTCAGTCGTTAAATGTTCAAATTTAAGAGACGATAGGAAAAGTAGCAACTAAACACACTTATAAGCAATTTTCTAGGAATTCGACAGTATCTTTGGAGCAAGCATATCTGACGGTTAACGGGGATTTTTTCCGAAATCTCAGGTACCTCCCTTTTTCGATTTGTTCCCGCCGCCATCTTGTTTTGTCCAATCCGGCACGGGATCACGACAGTGGTATTAGCAGGTGAGAATACGTTTATATTGACTGAAAAGTGTAAGTTTAAAACGCATTAGTTCTCGTTCTAAAGAAAACTAAATGTACACATGTACAAGATCTTTATCTGTTTATGTTTCAGTGTGCGTATTTCGTATTGTTCAGCCAATTTTGTGTTGCTTTTGAACTTTGATGCTTTTTACAATCACTCGTAAGTTAAAAGTAAAATCAAAGTTGCCATAATAATGCATGGATAGTTGTTTTATTAAGTATGTGTGTACCAGTGTGTACATGTACCATTTTTACATTGAATTTTTAGGGTGCTTTCACCATATGCAACAATAGTTTCATCCGTGAATACCCACTTTCTAAGCCCACCATAAACTACGAAGGTCAATTAATATGTAAGGACACCAATGAACAGGTAAATTTTGTTTGTGTTTGTTTTGTAAAATTTTAAAAAAATGAAGTCTAATTTTATTTGTCATTCTCATGATATTGCATTCATATAAATTTATAATTATTTGATTTATATTTTGAAAAATAAGTGTTTGAAACACACAATACTTATGATGCTTAATTATTCATACAGACACATTATTTAAACATGTAATATCTATTTGAATGAATGCCGAGATATGGAACAAGCTGTTTTTATAGACTGCTGTTGTATTTCCAATCTGCATAAAGTATGTGGTTAGAATTTCCATTTTCTCAATTTTTCAGACACTTTCCAATTATCATACATCATATATATGGGTGGTCAAACTTACTTGATGGTTTATCAACACTCCCATGCTCACAAACAGCCCTGCCCCAGGAATTTTGCCCTGAAGTAACATTGCAGTCTATTGTCTGATTTCTTTTTACAACCCTGGCAGCCATGCAGGTATGCAATCTATGAAAGCCATGAAGGGACATAGGATTTTTAAAAATTTAAAAAAGTAAACCGAGTTCTGGATATATACAATCCGTTCTCTTGGATTGACAATCTGTTATAACAAATTGCCAATTCATTCTCACAGATTATCAATTCGTTCCCTCAAATTACACAATCCGTTATCTCAGATTGTATAATTAATTCTTTTAGTTTAAATGATTCATTCCCTCGGGATGTAAACCCTTCCCATGATTTCGTTTAAATTATTTATCTGTACATATCGGATATGGTAATACATGTTTAAAAAATAGAATATTGTAGCATTTTACATCCTAACTTTTATTACATATTACGGTCCAAAATGAGAAAAATACATGAACTTTTTCAAATCCATGTGCTAGTACTGATATTTGTACAACAAAAAATCTTAGAGGTTTTTGTGTTACTTGTACATTAGAATAATTGAAAGTCCTAGATAGTAAAAGTGAATATGGGTCCTGTGTAATCATAATACTTCTAAAATAAATATACGTTGAATTAGTTATGAAAGAGGTTGGAAACGACTGGTTGCTGAAACAAAATAAATAGAACGCACTTATTGATTAAAATGGTTGGATGTTTCTGTACATAAATGTAATGAAATTCAAGAGCACAGATTTCCAAAATCATAACACTGACGTTGTAACAAATCAAGATGTTGAATTATCAATCAGTGAAAACAAATTACAGGTATGTAATTCGAGATCTCAAATTATGAATCAAGGGGGCGAATTGGTAATCCTTAAGATCGGATTGTGTAATTCGAGATCTCATATTATAAATCAAGGGAACAATTTAGTAATCCGTGGGATTAGATTGTCTAATTCGATTCAATATCATTTTTTACTTTTTTGAAAAATTTACATGTCCCTTCCTGGCTCTCGTAGCAATCTAATGCCAGATTTTTTTTACATGTTGCGATAGCGTAAACAGAGGTTTGGCTTTAGTCAGATTGCCATATATGCTATTTGTTTTAGTTCAGTAATTTTACCATGATGGTTTACTACAAGGTTGTTGAATTATCAGTCCTGATACATTGACTTAACAATATCATTTAACTACTTGGATCACATAATGAAGAAACAAAAATGTTAGTAGATACAGGTGCTTGTGTCACAATCTTAAGCAAAAAGTTCTTTGGAAATTTAGAATCTGAGGAAAAGCCCCAAATTACCCCAGTTTCTATTAAACTTGTATCTGCAAGTGGAGACCTTATTTCTGTACAGGGTAAATGTTCCATCGAATTATTATTTGAAAATTTGAGAATTTCTCAGACAGTGTTAGTGGCGGATATTAAAACCCCATGTATTTTAGGGTTAGATTTTCTGAGTGAAAACTCTTGTGACCTATCCTTGAAAAAGATGATGTTAAAGATTCAGGGCCTAGAAATACCTTGCTTTAACAAATTTTATAAGGAAGTGTCTTATTGCAAGATAAGTCTTGCAGAGGATATAATTATTCCTCCCCATTCCGAGTATGTTGCCCCGGCTAAGATTACGGATCCTTTATTTGAATCAAAAATTGGTTTAATTGAACCCCTGGAACAATTTGTTCAAAAACATGAAGTATTGATACCCAAAATCATTACACAAGTACAAGAAACGGAGGTTCCTGTAAGATACTTAAATTTGAAAGATGAGAGTGTGAAACTTTATAAGAACACCCATATTGCCACTATTGAAAATGTTGAATTGGTTGAAAACCCCAAAGACCCCAACCCAACTTTTGTCCTAAATACCATAGAATCAAATGGTTCATCAAAATTACCCACCCACTTGCAGTGTATTTTAGAAAACACTACCAAAGAACTTTCACCTGAACAAAAGCAAAAGCTAGAAACTTTATTGTTAGAGTACCAAAATAGTTTCTCAGCATCTTCTACTGACAAAGGTCTGACAAATCTAGTTGAACATAAAATCAACATTGGTAATGCCCCTCCAATAAAACAACCACCCAGAAGAATACCTTTAGCTAAAATGCAAGAGGTTGAAAAAGAAATAAATGACATGCTAGAAAAGGGTGTTATTGAAACTTCTAATAGCCCCTGGAGTTCTCCAATTGTGTTAGTTAGAAAGAAAGATGGGTCTATTCGTTTCTGTATTGACTATAGGAAACTTAACGATGTGACCATCAAAGATAGCTACCCCATCCCACGTATTGATTCTACCCTTGATGCTCTGTCAGGGTCGAAATGGTTTTCCACCATAGACCTAAAGAGCGGGTACTGGCAAGTCAAAATGGACCCCAATGACAAACCCAAAACTGCTTTTTCCATACCTGGGGGTGGACATTGGCAATTCCTGAACATGCCCTTTGGCCTGTGCAATGCAGGTGCAACCTTTGAACGGTTGATGGAAAAGGTGCTCTCCAATCTGTCCTGGAAAATATGCATGGTCTATTTAGACGACATTATCATCTTGTCCAAAACATTTGATGAACACAATTAAGTAAGAAAATAGAAGCTATCCACAACTTTGCTCGAAACAAATTACAGTTATCTTCCAAGAAAATGGTTAGAGAGAACAGTAGAAAAATAACCCATAACAAATACAATGTTGGTGACCTGGTTTGGTTTTATTCACCCAAGTACCCATTGCATGGCAGAAAGTTATGTAAAAGGAAAATCAAATAAATGTAGTAATTTTAGCATTCTTAATTTTATTTATAAATATAAATTTATATACACAATGACATGTATCTGTTTCAAAATACTTAAATCTTTTACAGGATAGAAGCTGATCACTTGTACTTGACAGCAAATAATAATGTCTTAGACAAGTCAAAGAATTTCCTCCGGTCTTACAGAGAAATGACAGTTGATAAAAGAATGGTGGACACAAAGTAGAAGTTGAATAATGTGTTGAAGATTTCAGTCTGATTTGGAATTCATCTTGCAATATTTCTGGATTTGTATATTTGGATATAAGCGTCAAATTTTCAACTTATTGACTAAACAGTTTTGCATTAAATATTGCCAATGCTATCTATTATTATTATTTCCCTCCAAAATAACATGTCAAGTCTTTATTGTACCCCTTAAGCTCTGTTATACCAGAAAAATCTTGTAATGAAATCATTTAGTTTTTTTTTCTTGTTAAATTAAATCCATGAAAATAAAGATTATTTTTAATGACATCAAGAGAATGGATTTCTTGTTTAACAAAAAAATAGTATACATGTTTTGCTAGGGCTTTGTAAGAAGCAGACCAGAATTCTTTGCTTGCAAATTTTGTCATTCACCATTTTTATTACGTCAGCTATTAGATGATTTATCCATGTTTGAAGCATTTCAAAATTGATATTTACTTACAGTTTAAAGCAGAATTCTGTACTGATATGACCTTGACCCCCTGAAGAGCAAGCGTGTCAAGGTCAATTTTTATTACAAAAATGTTTTTTCATCTTTATGGCCCATATCTTACAAACAATATGAAATATACAAAAAGTGACTAGAATGTGTCCAGAATTAGAAAATTAAAGGAGACTTACCTGTAAGGTGAACTTTAATTAAAATTCTCCGAAACACCAAGGAACGTTGGGTATTACGTGAGATATGCAAGCCTACTCCCAGATCAGTATTTAACTCAATATGTGAATATTCTTGATAATAAGCAATTTTACAGATGCTACATTTTTATCTATTATTATAAATTTATCACCCTAGTTCCCATGGGAGGGAGATCAAGGGTGGGCACGTAATACCCAACGTTCCTTGGTGTTTCGGAGAATTTTAATTAAAGTTCACCTTACAGGTAAGTCTCCTTTAATTTTCTAATTCTCCTTCACCACCAAGTCACGTGGGTATCACGTGAGATGTTTAAAGCAAATATTCACATATTGAAAATAGGAATTATACAAAGTAGAAGAATTCTTATAACTGTCAAAAATTTATTGAATATTCATATCATCTAAGCTACATGTTGAAGACAAAATTGCAGACTGAAAATTTTTATCATTATGTAAAACAGTTTTGTCATAAAATTTTGCAAATGTATTCTCATTAGACCACCCAACATGTGATAAGATATTGTCAACTGAAATCCCTGAAGAACGTGCGGCGGCGCTTGCAGCAGCGCGAGTGCTATGTCCAGAAAACTTGCTGGTATCAATGCCAGATTTAGATAACAGAGTTCTTATCCAGCGAGAAATACTGTCCTTCGATGCCTCTCGAAACGGCTTTTGGGTTGTCAAAAGAAGTTTTCTATTTCCATTACCTCTATATTTTTCCGTCTTTGTTATATACACTTTAATACATGACACAACACAAAGTATCTTATCCGGAAAAGCTAACACTGTAATTGGTTTTATATGATAAGATGGCCTAGATTGTTTTACAAGATTATTTACACAAAACACAATTCTATCTTCATAAACATGCATATTATCTAAATCTAAAAGTGACAAAGTTTGTGCTCTCTGTCCTGTTACTAACGCTAATAACATGACAAGCTTCAATGTCAAATCAAACACTGATAAAACTTCGTTTTCCCCCATACTGCGAATAAACGATAAGACCGTGCTCACATCCCAAGTCTCTGTATACCGCGGTAAATTAGGACGGTCGATAAAGACTCCTCTCATGAAACGTCTAATTAGCGGAGCAGAACCAATAGCCACATCATTAACAGGTGGTAATAAACAACTAAGAAAACTCCTGGCGGAATTTATCGTACTATATGAATATCCTTTATCAAAAAGTTCGGTAAGAAAATCCAAGACAACTGTTATTGAAAAAGTATCAGATACATGGATAGATTTGCGATTTAGAAATTCTAGCCACTTTTTCATATGCGAATCATACTGTTTTTTAGTTGACGCTCTCCAAGAATTCATAAGAACCGGAATTGCTTTCTCTGAAATACCTTTGGATTGATACATTTTCCAGATATGTGACATGCCAGAAGACGCATCTTTGGGTATAGTTTGTGAACTTCTTGAGGACGATGAGGTAATACCAATGTGTCCCGGGACTGAGGAAGAATAATCCGCGAACATTCTTCTCCCCTCCTCTTTTCCTGGATCCAATCGTCCAGGAATTTTTTGAGCCTAAAAAAGGCTTCCGATTTCCATGAAAAAAGCCAGATTTTGTGCGATCTTCACTTATTTTCTTTCCGACTTTATTTGCTTCTTGAATGCTTTTAAGCTGATCAGTGATATTGTCACCGAATAAATTATCGGTGACGGCATTTTGTGATGAACACAAAGATCGGTATTCCACATTCAGAGATGGCTTAATGCAATTTCTGCGCACATGATTGATGTCATCATTAGCCATGGCTATCATAGATATGGCCTCCATGAGCCGATTAACGGTCTCATTTGTTCCAGCATTACCTCCATGAGGGTCCGTTTTAATGAGATTGTCGACGACTCGAATTATCGGAACTATGGCATGTGCGATAAGTTTTTGCGGCTTTTGTATGTCAAGATCCGAATTCCTTGCAGATGCCGGTAATGATCGCCATATTTCCTTATTGACTTTCGGTACCAACAACATTTCACAACTTTGAGGAAGTTTGAATTTTTCATAATTTTCTTCTCGTTTCTTCTCTTCATTTGCTTTAGTTTTGTCTCCAGAAAACAGAGCTTTCAAAATTTTTGCAAGCTCATCTCCGATCGCCAATCCAAACTTATCCTTACCGTCAAATTGTTAAGATAATTTTTCCAAGATGGAATTTTCGGACGGTTTCGCAGTTTCTCCAGAAGAATCTTCAGACACCTTCTTCATCTTTGCTGGTGGTTCCCCATCAATCTCATCAGACAAGAGTTCATCTAAACGCTCATTAGTAGCGTTTAATTCAGCCATTACAAACTCTTGCATATCATGGAACTGCTTAGATTGCGCTGAAAGCAGCTTTTCTACGAGGCGTTCTTCGAACGAATCTCGTAGGTTGGTAGGTTCTCCTGAGCAGCTTGGCTGCTTTATTGCAGGAGAAGAAGAAGATTCTCCTAAACAGCTTGGCTGTTTTTTAGTAGGAGAATTTTCAAAGTTATCTTGTGGTCCAATAACATGAACATCAGCCTCTACTTGAACTGTGGCGTCATTAGATTTGTCCAAGGTACTTATTCCAAACTCGTCAGAAAGTTTTTGTAACACTGACATTGCTACGATATCCAAAATCAATTAATAACCACTTTTAATGAAAAAACACTTCTGCTCGATCTGGGAATAAACGCGCAACTGATCTGGGAGTAGGCTTGCATATCTCACGTGATATCCACGTGACTTGGTGGTGAAGGAGAATGTGAAATAACAAACATGTATATAGCCAAAAACTTTAAAATGATGTTGCTTAGCAACCACTTAAAGGTCATTAAACAGATATTTGAACTAAAATGATGCATGGATATTGCAGTTCTGATCCCTTCTTGAGAGTATATTCAGAATTTTCCATTTCAGCATCCATTGTGTAAAATTATGGCAAGAATATTGAGAAGTGTTGAAAAAAATTGATGAAACTTTTGCACTTATTTGACCTTTGACCTACTAAAAATAGTTCTAATGAGGTCAAACTTTAAGACAATTTATCTGTTGTATGTCCCTTGTAATTTTATGACCTCACATCTAACTTTTATATGTGTTGGGATGCATAAATGTGTCTAGGATGAGTAAAAAATGAAAATATCTGCCCGAAAATTAAAGAATTCTGTGTTGCTTAGCAACCCTTTTTAAGTAGTTATATGCAGAAATGAAAAAAAAGTTTATGTGTTTCATGTAGTACAGTATAATGCTCTTTTGTGGGTATATCCCAAATTTCCTATTTCAACATACATCATACTTAATATTTAGCTTAAAGATGAAAAAGTATCAAAAAATTCCATAAAATTTTGCACTTAATTGACCTTTGACCTCAATTTTTACTAATAAGGTCAGTGGTTGAGTATCTTAACAGTCATAATATATCATCTGTAAGAAATTTCCTACAAAATGGTATGCATTATGCCTAGCTTTCCCCTTGGATAAAAAAGTTAGAAATAATTTAATAATGCCATGTCAAAAGGCCTCCAAAATCACGTAAAATGCGCCGGAAGAGAAATTAATATTAAATTATTAAATATATTCTCAACAAACGTCATACACTTATACAGATTTAATGTTGTATTATATACTAATATACACTCGACAGGGCATTCATGTCATATAAATATATTTCTAGTTAAATTCTTTCGATCCCATATATGTTCAAAAAAAAAATTTACTGAACTCACCCAGTCTTTTGGACGAGTCACTGCTACTGACATATAAGCTTTAAATTCTCAACCGTATTTGAACCAGTGAAACATTGCTCATATAATGTAGGGTGGGGCATGACCTTGACTCAAGTTCAAGGTCACTTAAGATTTTTTGGTTGGATATGGACTAAAAGAATATCTAAAAAAACATACGTGAACTTTTCCAGTCGGTTACACGCAAATTATGTATATTTATAACTTTATAATATAATTTTCAGAGTTTATGGACGTTACTTAACTCTATCAGAATTTAGTTTAGCATTTCAAAATAGGCTTTCCTTTCCAGACAAAGGCTCGGAGATGGCAAAAGCTGGAGCAGAAATTTTACTGATTTTACACAATAGAAGTATTGAAGTTGTGCATAGCGGTTTTTGTTTTTCGATTTCTTTATTCAAAATGGTGCTATATAGGGGTAAAAAATTAGAACGCCTAAAAGAGCGAAAATTTACACATATTTTGCTTTTTATCTTCTTAACTAAGAATATTTTGTTGAAACATATAGAACAAAATTTGTGCAGAATTACAAGATCTTTCGAATGATATTTCGAAAAAAGGACTGACTCCTAAATTAAGGGATCTAGAGGGGCCAACAGTTTTTTCTAGATATCTAAAAGAGTATTGAGAATTTTTAATACCCAAGAAGCAAAGTTGTTCAAAATGTCAAGCTCAATCTATTGAAATCGTCAAAATGCGTCCGGCGACGTCACTTCCGGTCAAACCGGAAGTCGTCAGAAAATGCATATTTTTGCCGTTCTTGACAAATTATTGGGTAACATATGTCACTGGAAACATAAAACTTACTTTTCCGTCCGTCGAAATCACTTCCTGTCAAACCGGAAGTAGCAAAAAAATAGCTTATTATTAAAGGTTTTGATGCAAAATTGAAATTATAAGTGACTGAAGACGACTTAGCTCATTGCTTTCTTTTGTTGACGTCACTTCCAGTCAAAACAGGACGGAAGACCTACATGTTGCTTTGCAACGAGCTTTGCTCTAGTTTATTAAAAGATATTGTATACAATTACCTGAATGTACGGCATTATGATAACATTAGCGCGACATTTTTACATGTACATACAAGATAGGTTATTATAAAGTTATTTTTCTGTATTGCTGATGCCTTGAAAATTACAATTTGCAATACTATTTGAAATATTAAAAACACTTTTTCAAGTTTAAAATTTACGAAAAAGGTATGAAAAGTTTAAGTAGGGGAATAATACTTTAAGGTTTCGTCAAAGGTCAACATGTCTAAAAAATTAATTTTACAATAGCTCCAAAACTATGTGTGGTATAAAATCAAAATGTTTACAATTTATAAATATATTATTCTTTAATAGATAGAAAGTATCTCTTGATAACAAATATTTTTAGAAAGATTTTTTTAAAGAAAAATTGTATCAGAAAATGTGCATATTTAAAAAAAAATGCACCTGCTTTATTCTGTCCTTTTTGTGAAAACTATCATTGCAGAAATAATATATGTTTATCATTGAAGGGCAAGTTGGACGTCAATGGTCTCTGAAAGGCTGTTATTGAAAGCATGACATGTATAAAGACAAGAGGCATATAGAATCGGCCATTTGCAATGTACTTTCACTCTCAAGTCTTAACATTTGGACAAAATAAACAGGGAAAACAACTTTCCAGAGACTATCAAAGTCCAACTTGCCCTTCATTGATAAACATATTTTGTTTCCCCAATAATGGTTGTCACTTAGAGCACGGAATTAATTAGGTGAATTTTTTGAAAATATGTGCATTTTTAAGAAGAATTTTTCTCAATTAATATTCTTACCAAGTATTTTTTTTTATCAAGTGACACTTTCTATCTGTTCATCAATGAAAAATTGATAAACTGTTAAAGTTTCAACTTTATACCTCATATAGTTTTGGGGCTATTGTAAAAATAAATTTTGGAACATGTTGACCTTTGACGAAACCTTAATACGTTGGCATATTATTATACAGTTGACCCTCAGATATCCAGACGCCAGGTATCCGGAATCCGATGTTTCAGTATCCGGACGGCTTCTCTTTGAAACAGAATTTTTTTTGTTATTTATTCTTGTTTAACTGGTAATTCAGATATCCGGACGCTTCACATATCCAGACAAATTGACTCGGGCTAAAGCGTCCGGTTAAATGAGGCTCCACTGTATATTGTAAAGGAATCTGTTGATTGAGTTATATATATAGGGAGTTGGGATACATGTATTGTACAAAATGACACTTGCAGGATATTCGTTCTATTTAGTGAATTTATATCAGCCCAGTTACTGATTTTTGTAAATGTCATTAAAATAATGTTCATTTTTATTATTGTGTAATGAGAAAAAATAGCAAAATATAATTTAAAGAGAAATTCGAGGTGTTTTTCGCTTAACATGGTGACGGAGTTTGGGTAATCAGGGATAACTACAGCTCAGTTTTTATATATCAAATTAGTTATAAAAGGCCTTTGTCGTGTTCATTGCTCACTTTTTGCTTTCACTGATTTTCATTGGGGTTTCTCCTAATGTTAAGTTTTTGTATATGCCAGTAACTTTGGGATAAATTGGAAGCTGTCACCTCGATCAGTACTTCGAGTACTTTGAAATGTCACTTTTGCCGGAGTTTGTTCCTTTAAAAATCGAGATCCTTATTCACAAAATTGCGTAACTGTGTTTCAGCAAAATATTTCGTCATACACGCATTATCTGTGATCATTGTGGATAGTATTGCGGAAATAACTTTAAATGTAAAGGTATTGTGAAGCTTGTATATAGAATATCCATGCCAGGTGCCAAGATAGATCACGTTAAAAAATTAGCTCTCATTACTTACAACTAAGTTATCTGAAGTCTCTGATCATGCATAATAAAAACAGAAAATTGATGGATTGAAATTCTAGTTTTATATTCATTTTCAATCCACCTGAGCTCTTTTCAAAAGAAAATCGTGAATGTATGATCCAAAAGACAAATATTTTCCATTCCCAGATATATGTTGAATTTAATATTGATATGAGTTTATAGCCTATAACATTATCTTAAGGACATCGGTAAAAGTCATTGAAGATATTTATTGTTTTTCCAGGGGACGGCCATTTATTTCTAGACGGTTGGTGTCATGAATTCGACGCGGACGGCCGAGAAAACATGCTATATGCCAAATTTGGTTGACATATGTGCAGTGGGTCCAGAGAAAGGCTTAGAATGTTTAAGTTTATGACCAACGAACGTTGATTTCTAAGAACATATAGCCATAGGTCATCTGATTTACTCAGTTGACCTAAATAAGCGAGTTTCTCCCTCCGGCCGGTCACATCCGCCGTGAGATCCTGGCCATAATTGGAAAAAAACTGAAAATCCTTTCAATAATTATTCATTGCGTAAATAACTTGATTACTATAAGTATGAAAAACAAAGGTCAGCATTTGTCGAAATGTGTTGACAAGATCCTTGTATTTACTCGAAACTTAAAAATAAAAGATGAATTCAAGGAAACTGTTGATTAATACACATATTATTACATATTTATAACACATGATTGTTCTCTTTTCACAGAAAATCTGTGTATTGACATAGTCTTTATGAAGCTAGCAATTGGACAATCAGCACCATGCAATTCATTGCATTATACAAACTGAAGGGATAGGAATAGTTTGTACATCGATTTTGTACAGAGTTGTGTCGTAAAATATTTAGTCCTGCTTTGTAGCTTGGTTAGTTTATAATGTTTATTGAATAACATGTCTGAATTCATGGTATTCAATGACTCCATAATGAAATCATCCCATGATTTGTATCTTTGGCCAAGTTCTTGAGAAATATCGGGTCAGAAACATCGAAATCTTACAATCAATATAACTGCTATACTTTACTTTAAACAAGTTTAAACCTTTTCTGCAATCTAAAGGAAGTTCCAAGTTACACACGTCAGTATTGAAATTTTCCTACTATACACTGCGTGGTTTTTGATTTATGTTTTATGTCTAATTGACTTCGGTTTTGTTTTTCTTCCATGCATATTTAAGGTCAAGATCTAGTAAATGAAAGATGCCTACAGATTTATAAAATTTTAACAATAAATTCCTTTAATGATGCTTTATGACTTTAGCTTGGAAAATAAGGTGTTTCAGGGCATAATGTGTAAGTAAATAAAATGAAAAATCCCATATTTGAAACAGTCATATTCAATGAAATATTAAGAAACAGAAACATTTTTTTTCATATTTCACAAAAGATATGTATCCAGATTGCCTAAAGTCACTCAAAAAAAACGGTAAATTGTATTTTCTTGGCCACATCTTTAAAATGATATCAAAATTAATATAGGTATCGGAATTACACGTGCACTTTTATATTATTTCAAATAGAATTCCACGAAAATACCCGTTTCTACATATTTCTGCTAAAGCGGAAATACAGTGAAAAAAGTTGTAATTGATTATGACGTCATAATAGATCTAGCTCCACGAAATCAGTCAAAATTTATTTACTTGATCTTGACCTCTATAAAAGTAACCTTAACAACTCATGCTCTGACTTTACAAATCGTGATTAAGCGTATTACATAGTTATATATATTTTTTCGTTTTCCTCTTTTAAGTTGCAGTCTTTTAATTTTTAAAACATAATCGAAATACATATACGAGGGTTGATCCAAAAGTAATATAACAACTTCGATAAAATTGCTACTTGTAGACGTAAATCAACAAAATTTTACATAAAAAATGATGGTGGAAGCTATTTTGATTTCAAATCAGTCCTGACAAATTGAAGTAAAAAAAGATTTATACTTTTCACAATATCGAATTATATACAAAGTGCTATTATGGTAGTCGCCACACCTATATAACGTCGTATGACGGATATGCTCCGTCAAACACTTAAACGCGTTCCCTTCGTTTCATTGAAGTTTTGAGGTTCAAGAACACATTCACATATTTCACTTTCTTTAAAAACCATTGCACCAATTGTACACTCACTTTATTTATAATGTAGTCCTCAGTCAAAATTCTATGAACAGTACCATAAGACAATCTTAATTAAATTCTCATATCGCACTCTTTTTGACAAAATTAGTCACCATTGAACATTCTTTCCCCTGTGACTCTGATTTTTCATCGCCAGTCCCCACTGGTTTATTTCCCGATGGATTGGGGGGGGGGGCATGACAGCTCGTTTCCGCGTTTTATATGTTTCGACATTTCCATTGTTCAACCAGATTAAAACAACACTGTTTATGATCAAAAATAGCAATTGTGTCATTTAATTTTTAACTAAATGCTAGAAAATGTTGTAAAATTTTAGTCTATTAAGGACAGACGAGACTTTCCTTAATAATAGATAAATTTTTCTAAGAGTTTGTCATTGAAGTATTGCTTCTTAAACATGTTTACTCACAAAAAATTGAGGTACCTTACCATGCATTTCTGCAAGATACCGGGGTGTAGTTTTTCTAATATAATCCTTTGGGGAAGAAAAATAATTTTCCAATTTCAAATGTTTAAGTGTTTGGATTTTTAAAAAACGTTTAGAAACTGGTTTAGAAATCAGAATGTTATTAAAATTTTGAATATTTTTCATACATTACAAAGATATACAAAACAGATTTTGAGGAACGTCTTGTCTGACCTTAAAATATTGGGCGATTACACGATTTTTTTTACATATTTTTTTTTGCATACACTGTATATACTTTTTAATGTGTTTGTATTTTTTTTTCATTCTATTAACAATATGCACTTTAAAACGAAACGCTTAGTTGTGACGCGGCGACACCCCCTATGTTCAATGTTTTAAACGTCTATAAAATAAATTCAATTAAACATTATTCAATGAAATTTTCAATTTTGATTAGTTTTATTTTTATGCATCTTTTGGTACATAATATTCGATAATATGACTCCAAACATTATATACATGTAACATGAAATACATGTATATGAACACATTGACATTATGTTTGGATCAACCCTCGTTCTTCTTTCCTATGAATATTTCTTTTCTTTGTCAGACATCAAATGCTTGGAATATAAAAAATATTCAATGAGTTCAAAAATACTTAAAATATATACACAGGTGAATATAACATTCTATGAATAATATTCATAGTTCGAAGCATGCTTGGTCTCAGATCTCATTACTGCTTCTTTAAGCTCTTTCATATCTGACCACATTTCTTTCACCATTTCATGCTGACTTTCCATTTTAACCTTTTCTATAATATCATCTTCTTCTTCCTCTTTCAGAGTCAGTTTTTGAATGTAATTAAGTTTATCCAAGTATTTCTTTCCAGTGAATGTTTCAAGTCTTTTGCAGATGTCTGACATCATTAACCAGGTGTCATCGAATTCTTTCTGAGGGGTTGAAGCTGAGCTAACGTGTGCAGTCAAACCGTTCCGGATTAACCTAATTCTCTCGATATCGTCATCCACGGTCACATCTCCTGCTGCAGGCTCGCCTCCCCATTTTCGTTTTCTTGGGTTAGGAACCTTTTTACAAATGTTTCTGATCAATGTGTATGTTAATGAAATATCAAAATTCTTATATCCTGATATTTGAGCATTTTGTAAGAGATGTTCTTGCTCAGGGCGTAATCTTTTATAGATTGATGATGCTTTCACTTTGTTGTAAATAACGGAAGGGGGAACCTCCAACTCTAGTATATCTCTATATGTCTCATTCAACACATCGTTTGTTGCAATTCCAAGTTTGGCAAATCTAGATCGACCCCCCAAGTCTTGTCCAGAAGTACTTGTAGTATTGGAAATACTTGGTTTTATCTGAAGAATACAACTCATTTATTTGTAACATTTAGCAATTTAAAAAAAAAATAATAAAAAAGAGGCCCATGGGCCACATCGCTCACTTGAGCAGAATTGGTGATGCCGTTCTTTACCCAATTTCCCCATTGAAATACCTTGTGTGACCTCGCCCACCCTTGAGGTCATGTAAAACCTGGATTCCCTATTGTGGCCCCGCCCAACCCCCGGGGGTCATGATTCTAATAATTGAAAATCTACACTATCCCAGGATGCTTCCACATTAGTTTCAGCTTTTCTGGCCAATTGGTTCTTGAGAAGAAGATTTTTAAAGTTTGTTCCTATATATTTCTATGTAAAACTTGGGTTCCTTATTGTGGCCCCGACCAACCCCCAGGGATCATGATTTTAAAAATTTAGAATCTACACTACCCTTTGATGCTTTCACACAAGTTTTGGCTTTTTTTGGCCCAGTGGTTCTTCAAAAGAAGATAGGATGCTTCCACATAAATTTCAGCTTTTCTGGCCCAGTGGTTCTTGAGAAGATTTTTTAATGACCCCACTCTATTTTTGTATTTCTTGATTTTATTCCTTTGTGAGAGGCATTGGCCCTTAATTTTAATAATTTAGAATCCCCTTTACCCAAGGACATCGCTCACTTGAGCAGAATTGGTGATGCCGTTCTTTACCCAATTTCCCCATTGAAATACCTTGTGTGACCTCGCCCACCCTTGGGGTCATGTAAAACCTGGATTCCCTCTTGTGGCCCCGCCCAACCCCCGGGGGTCATGATTCTAATAATTGAAAATCTACACTATCCCAGGATGCTTCCACATAAGTTTCAGCTTTTCTGGCCAAGTGGTTCTTGAGAAGAAGATTTTTAAAGTTTGTTTGTGGCCCCGACCAACCCCCAGGGATCATGATTTTAAAAATTTAGAATCTACACTACCCTTGATGCTTTCACACAAGTTTCGACTTTTTTGGCCCTGTGGTTCTTCAAAAGAAGATAGGATGCTTCCACATAAATTTCAGCTTTTCTGGCCCAGTGGTTCTTGAGAAGATTTTTTAATGACCCCACTCTATTTTTGTATTTCTTGATTTTATTCCTTTGTGAGAGGCATTGGCCCTTAATTTTAATAATTTAGAATCCCCTTTACCTAAGGATGCTTTGGACTAAGTTTGATTAAAAGTTTCCTTGTGGTTCTTGAGAAGAAGTAAAAAATGTGAAAAGTTAACAGACGGACGGCCGGAAGAAAGCTAGACGGAGGGACGGACAGATGGACGACGGACAAAATGTGATCAAAAAAGCTCACTTGAGCCTTTGGGCCACATCGAGCACTTGAGCACCTGGGCTAGTTAAAAAAATTTAAAAAAACCCCACACAAATCAGCTTATTATTATTTAAAAAAACCACACGCAAATCAGCTTAATATTATTCAAAAGCTGTTTTTAGGGAGGGGGATTTGTTTTCTAATTTCTATCACTAATTTGAAAATGTCAATATACCAATAAAGCATACAAAAGTCACGTATAATTTTGCCATACTTGAAAAGAAGATATTTAAAGATTTTTTCCAACGTAATATTCTATCTCCCATGGTGCCCCCCCCTCGGACATTTTTTGAATAAATTTTAATCTTCACTACTTGCACTTGCAGATGCTTGCAAGTCAATTTGACATCTTTTCTGTTATGGAGAAGATTTTTTTCATATATATTCCTATGTAAAAATTTGATCAACCATTGTGGTCCAGCACTACCCCAGGGGGTCATGATTTGCACAAATTTGAATCTACACTACCTGAGGATGCTTACACCATAGTTTCATCTTTCCTGACCAAACGGTTCTGGGAAATTTCTAAAAATACCATAATTTTTTTCATTAATTCATAATTATTTCCCCTTCGAAGAGGGCTTGGCCCTTCATTTGAACAGACTTGAATCCCCTTCACCCAAGGATGCTTTGTGGCAAGTTTGGATAAAATTTGCTCAGTGGTTTTTGAGAAGTCAAAATGTGATTAGTTTACATATACATATTACAGACAAAATGTGATCAGAAAAACTCACTTGAGCTTTCAGCTCAGTTGAGCTAAAACATCATATCAATAAATCAATTATAGATTTTTTTTGGAAATTTATAATTTTTAAAGTTCTAATAATGTAACAAAACATTTTAATGCCATTGGATAAATTCAATTGAATGCTGCAATAAAGTACGAGGACATGCCATGTAATCATTTATTCAGAAACTGATTGGAATAGCTTAACTGGTTTGCAGTTGTCAAATATATGTTCTATGTATTGATATACATATAGTATTTAACATTATTTTTAAAAGATTCACCTGTTTCCAATATTTTGTTATATCTTCTGTGTTGATACGATGCTTTTTGTTTGCTGGACAGGATGGACACAGAAATGTTTCTTTGATAAACTTAGATTCAGTAATGACAACGCTTTCTTTACTGTCACAAAATCCGGTAGATTTGCATTTGAATGCAACATGGATATCTGACTTTTTTTGAAATGTGTTGGAGAGGGAGTGTAATATATGCTCAATGTTTTCTCTAATCAGGTGACAGGTTGAAACATCAACTTCTCCCTCAACAACAAACACTTGCAACTGAATTTCTGTTTGAGTCATTCCAAGCATGATGTTATGATGCTGGTCATGAAACACGAAAATAGCTGCAGTCTGGTAAATGCATCCCCTTTCTTCATCTGTAAAAATCTCCCAGGGAATCTGCATGCACATTGCTACAAGGCGATGGAAAATTTCAAAAGGAAGAACATCAAATGTGTAGCAAAGGATGGAGGAGGCAGGGTAGGATGAAAAACAGTCTACTGAAAATTGCATCTTGTTTATACACGGGACATACCATATTTTGTCTCTAATTTTAGCTAAGAGTCCTAGCTTTTCCATGTACACCATGATGTCCTCTTTATGTTCGATGTAACCATTGTTGTTCATTCTCCATACGGCACAAAGCAGTGTTTCATCTAACTCTCCAGTTTCATTGAATTTGTCCCATTCTGATGCAAATTTAAACAAATCTTCTTTTGCATGGTTTTTATCTGTAATGATATTTTTAAATGCATCTGCAAACCACTGAACATCGAGAATAATAACTTCATTGAGGAATTGGTGATTAAAGTGTATAAGTTCTCTGATGTCATGGAAAAACTGCAGCATGGCATCCATATCTTCAATAGTATGGAGCTTTATTCCCTCTGGCAATGTTTCATTGAAAGACTGAAGTTCAACCCTACTCAAAATCTTGCGAATTTTCTTTTCCTGAAAGAATGTTTCAAACATAGCCCATGACTGTGGAAGCTCTTCACCCCAGTGATCAAGCTTGCACACGACATCAGCGATGGACAGCTTAAGATTTTCAATGCTTTCATTGTCATGGAATCCAACCGCAAATCGACGTTTCACATCAATATGTTTTTGCAAAGACTTCTTCTTCATGTCAAGAGTCTTCCAAACTTCTCGGAAAAACAATTCTTTTTCCTAACAAAAACAAATTCCTTATTTTATCTTATGATAACAAATCAGTCATAGTAAAATAAAAAGAGGCCCAGGGGCCACATCGCTCACCTGAGCATTTGGCGAGGGAAAAAGCACATATCAGATCAGAACTGAAAGCCCACTGAGGTTGGGGGGGGGGGGGCTTGAATTTTAACCCCCAGGGGATCATGATTTGAACAATCTTGAATCTACACAACCTGACGTTGATTCCCTATAAATATCACTAGTCATGGCTTTGAAGTACTTGAAAAGAAGATTAAAATGGTTTCCCTAGATATTCCTATGTAAAACTTTGATCGACTATTTAGCCCCACCCTACCCCCGGGTGTCATGATTTGAAGAACTTTGAATCTACACTACCTGAGGATGATTCCACATGAGTTTCATTTTTCTTTGCCCAGTAGTTCTTGAGAAGAAGATTTTTAAAGATTTTTCCTATATATTCCTAGGTAAAACTTTGATTGACCATTTTGGCCCCACCCTACCCCCGGGGGTCATGATTTGAACAAAGGTAAATTTACACTACCTGAGGATGATTCCACATGAGTTTCATCTTTCCTTGCCCAGTGGTTCTTGAGAAGAAGATTTTAAAGATTTTCCTATATGTTCCTATGTAAAACTTTCATCAGCCATTTTGGCCCCATCCTACCCCCAGTGGTCATGATTTGAACAACTTTAAATCTACACTACCTGAGGATGATTCCACATGAGTTTCATCTTTCCTTGCCCAGTGGTTCTTGAGAAGATATTTTTAAAGATTTTTCCTATATGTTCCTATGTAAAACTTTGATCGGCCATTTTGGCCCTACCCTACCCCCGGGGGTCATGTTTTAAAAAAAACTTGAATCTACACTACCTGAGGATGATTTCACTTGAGTTTCACCTTTCCTGGCCCAGTGGTTCTTGAGAAGAAGATTTTTTTTTTAAAAATGCCATTAATTTTTCTCTAATTCATTATTATCTCCCCTTGGAGTAGGGCGTGGCCCTTCATTTGAACAAACTTGAATCCCCTTTACCCAAAGATACTTTGTAGCAAGTTTGGTTGAAATTAGCTCAGTGGTTCTTGAGAAGAGTATGAAAATGTGAAAAGTTTACGACAACGACGACTGACGACGGACTGATCAGAAAAGCTCACTTGAGCCTTCGGCTCATGTGAGCTAATAATGTTCATAATTATACATTGATTATTAATGTTTTGTTTCAACAGAGTTGATGAAACACATGTATGTCTCTAAATATTATAATAAATATTTACAGATCGGAAAAACAATGACAAAGTAAAACATTTGTGTAAACAATGAATAGCAGTTTTGAAAAATGATACCTTTTCTGTTTTGTTCTCACTATGTGTACCAACCAGGATGACAGGAGCCTTATCACTGCCATATTGATGAATGGACTTCATCCAGAATTCTAGATAATCTGAAAATCAAAGAAACATTGAGTTGTTAGAGTTTTCTTTAAGATGGATTGCAGGAAATGATGGCAGACGTAAATTAGAAACTCTATATGTCAGAGCCATTTACAAGGCGGGCCATAGATGAAACAAACTTATTGCAGTCGTAAAGCTGCACAGAAAATCAAACAAAATAAAAAATAATCTCATTTAGGATAAAAATTTCAAAATTCATTGGGACAGATACGCTCTGAAAATATGGAAAATTTAATTATTTCCTTTTTGATATGTCAATAACATTTATCAATGCGAAAAATTTTGATCTAATGTGGTGGTAGTTGAAAAACGATTTTTCGAGCCACAAGTGTAATAATTGAATATTACCTCTGTGTGTCCATCCCCCGTAAACGGAGCCTTCCTGACAACACACGTCTTCTCCAACCTTATCATCAAACTTCTTCTCCATATTCAGCACCAGGATGAAGAATGCCCGCGGACTCAAAAAAATCTGGTGTGAGGCATAATATGAACACTGTCCTGCAAAGTCAGTCATGGTTATTTTTTTATCAGGATCTTCTGAAATATCTTCTGCACCTATCTGTAATTTTCCAGAAATTTCTGGACTATGACTAATATCTTTTCTTTCCTTCATAACTTCTGCTACTTTTTCTGGTGATGTGGCCCCCTGTGGGTCATGGGATGAGGTAGGGTTAATGTCGATATCATCATGTGATATCTGTCCACTGCTTGATGCTTCAGTCGTATTGCCCTCTTCTTCAACTGGTTTCATCTTTTCCTGCGTTTCCTCATCATCGGCTGCATTTTCTGAATGAGATTCAGGAACACTCTGATTCATATCTTTTTTATCAAGTCGAAGTTTAAAGTGTTGCTGTTGGCGTGAAGAATTTGCTGTAAATAAAAATGAATACAAATTTAACACCGTCTCCCTTCGTTGTCCCTGTACTTTACGAAAATAGACTTTTATTCTATTATATAAATCCGCAAGTCACGAAATAAAATCTCAAGGTACTGAGAGTATCGAGCTCACAAAATGATATCCCCAGGCAGCTTCCATATGAGTATGATGGTGAAGTCTTTGTTTTACTATTGAAAAACCAAATATCTGTCCAATCTTATCATAAAGAATGCGTTACGCAATGAAAGAATGTAGTTATTATTATGTGAAAGTGTCATTTAACTTTATTCAGTTGTACAGGTTGAGTTGCAAATACGAGATAGGTACCACCAATATAACGGTAGTGTCTATATTTTGCATTAGGAAACCAGAAACATGTCTCCATACAGAGAGTAAAACAGAAAATTTAAAATTTCTCTATTTAACAAAGATTCTGTGAAAATTTCAGGCATTTTATTAAGTAGTAACAATTTTTATTCAGTGGTTAATGGTAATGAAGAATAATAAGAGTAATAAAACATAATAAACGGACAGATGGTACATGTGGGATGGATAGGAGGACACCCTCAACGCTCTTAGACACCCTACTTTCCAAGTAAGGGCAGAGGGCGGAGGTGGTACTTCCACATACGTTTCAACTTTTCTTGCCCTGTGTTTCTTGAGATTTTTTTAATGACCCCACCCTATTTTTGTGTTTTCTTGATTATATCGCTTTGTGAGGGGACTTAGCCCGTCATTTTAATAATTGAAATTCCTCTTCATCCAAAGATGCTTTGTACCAAGTTTGGTTAAAATTGGCCGAGTCGCTCTTGAGGAGAAGTCGAAAATGATAAAAGTTTACAGATTGATGGACAGATAGACGGACGATGGACAAAATGTGATCAGAAAAGCTCATTTGAGCCTTCAACTCAGGTAGGCTAAAATACCTTGGATGCTCTCTGTCACATCAAACAAATCTGTGTGGATATCGACTCCTCTAGTTGACCTGATATTTTTCTTTATTTTCTCCAAGTCAATACCCTTCAGTCTCTCTAACAGTGTTGTTTTCCCACTACCGGCACACCCTATTATCATCCCAGAGGCGTGGTACATGGTTGTCTTCCCTTTCTTTAAATTCTCAATGAAATTCGTCACTGATTTGTCTCCCCTTAGGATTATCTGCATTGGTATTCCTACTATAATGACAAAACACTAATATTACAAAGCTGTGAAGGAGTCAAACAAATGATTATAAACAATCATAACAAGAGGCACGGGGGCCACATCGCTCACCTGCGTAAATCGGCTAGGAATAAGCAAAAATCAGATCAGAACTGAAAAGTTCACTAAAGGGAGGTGGGGGACTTGAATTTTAATACCACTAAAGATTGCCTTCATATTAATACAGTATATGACTGTGCTGTTCTTGATAAAAAGATTTTTTAAAAAACATTTTCTTCCTATATATAACTTCATAATAATTTGAATTTGATTCCCCATTGTTTCCCTCCCTACCCCAAAGGGCCATGATTTGAATAAATTTAAATCTTCAATACATGAGGATGCATACATGTCAATATGACTAAACATAGCTTTTCTGTTCTTGGGATTTTTTCCTTTATTTCTCTATGTAAAACTATTACCCCATTCATACGACATGATTTGCATACCTCAGTATATTTTACTCATATCATGTAAATTTACTCACATGTGCAATTTTTGTCATATGAACTGATTTGCTCACATGTAAATTCTGCACAGTTGAGTAAATTTACACCTGGTCAGGACTAGGTGCAAATTAACTTTTGCACACATGTTGTAGAGAATTATTAGTTCATATGTGTAAATTTTGTCGTATGAACACGCAGCAAATTTACTTATGTATTTTGTTTTTTTTATTGCATAAATCTCCATTTTGAGTGTTGTTTCGGTTGTTTATGCATTGTAGTGTGTGTAATATCAGTCTGTTAGCATGGCGGCCAGGTAGCAAAACATAACAAACTGCATATTTTATGGTCATCTTTGCTGTACTTCAAGGATAGCTGAAAGTAGTGGTGTTTCGATTATCGCCGACATCGCCGAATCTATCGCTGAAACCCAACCGATTTCGATTAATCGGATCGAAATTTGAGATCGATTAATTGGTAAAACCCGTAAACATACAAGTTTACAAAGAACGAACTGTTGTTGACACGAATAGTCGAATACACTACGTACATTGGCATAGATGGCGGCGCCCTGTGTCGCACACAACGAGGATGACCAGCGAGAAATACTTCCCTACCCCGGCACTAAATCGAAGTCGAAGGTATGGAAATACTTTGGATTTTAGAGAAAGGCAGCCGGTCGGCCGACGAAACAAAACTTAGACTTGTCAAGGGCCATTTGCAAACTCTGCAGGTGAATGTACACCAATAAAGGTATTATATCGACTTTACGCTCTGTCGTCCTTGGTAAGAAGTTTGGGAAAACGCTATACACGTTACTGGTCCTCCAGTAATTATCGGACAGAAATCTTGCGTTTTTCAGAATTTCTAAGCAGTGTTGTACAATTAAATTTTAAAATTTATATTTCGCCAGAGGTTAACTCAAGAGCAAAACAAATATATTAAAATATTTTATGATTTTTGCTTGAAAAATTGTTTAAAGATCACTAGAAAACATACCGAAATTCATTCAAATTTTGAAAAGCGGACCGGTAATTATCGGACACCTGGTTTTTACAGGAAAAAAGATGACATTTGAGAGGTTAAAAATTGATTTACAAACACTACTGTCAATATCCTAGGTAATGATGCCAATTTCTTGATCCAGTGTGAATTTCTTTCTTCATATTTTGCGAGTCATTACCATGCCCCTTTCCCCGGGTGAAAACGACACTTCATTGAGCGAGTAACAAAAACCCCATACATTTATATTGTGTCCGATAACTGCTGGTGTCCGATAATTACTGGAGGATCAGTACCATTGATAGCAGTGACCCACATGTACACAAATTACAAAGAGAAGAGGGATGAAATCTGACTCAGTCCTGCTAGAAAAGACTCTACACCAATGTTTAGAAAATGTATCAAAAGCTATTAAAGATACTATCATAAACAATTTGTTATGAACCTGCCAGTTGGCAATTTTTTTTACATTAAAATTAAAAGAAAATGCTGAAAATCTTTACTTGGAAGCTCAAATTTTACTTCCTTCCAAGTTCCACAATATTATGACCTTGCTCTTTCTATTCAGGGAACACGTCCAACTTCATGGCTCATATTAAAACGGAACATGGAGATGTATTAGAGTCGTCCGGTTCGAGTGACGCAGCTAGTGCTAAAGCAACGAACGACTTCACTGACATACTTTGCAAATGCTGGTCCTAGTAGTTAGTACTAGTTACTAGTTAGTAGTTACCTTGTTATTGTAATTGCCAAATTTCATGTTAATAAGTTGTCAGTTACATTGAATAGTAAAAAAATAAACATTTTATAGTCATATATCCTTTATTTCACATATGTTTCAAAATAAATATGGAAACCGATTAATTCAATTAATCACTAAAATCGGACTCCGATTATTAACCGATAATCAGTTTCAGATTTTTTTCCGATTATACAACACTAGCTGAAAGTAAATTGAGTTTTGATAAGGGTAATGTTTTAAAGTCTTTAAAGGGTATACAGGGTTGCACTAGCATATAGTTCTTTCCAAAAATGGCCTTTTCAACTCTGAAAACAAGGATCCACAGTATATCTCCAGTGTCCTCTGAGGTAAATTTGAATTTGCAAAAATGCGCGCATCTTGCACCCTTTCTTGCAAACCTATGTTTATGCCTCTAAATTATAAAAATATAACTGTGGTCTCGCAAACATGTCCTCCAGGATGAACTTGTTAAGTAGTCCCCTTACAATTCAAGTAGTCTTCATGGGAAATGCTCTGGAGCTGTGTTAGGAATAGGCATTAAATCAATCGCCCGGGCCCCATTACATATTGACTGTCTTCTACCTTTCTTTGTTTTTAAACCAAGGCAAGCTACTGACATATAAATTGATGCTACAGGAATTTCAACAACCCTGTTGAAAATAAGCATTTTTAAGCATTCTCGATCTTGGCAGCCGATCCCACCATGAATTTCTAGGGGATTTGTGTTTATTTCCTATTCATATTTGTTTTGTTTGAAATTCTTTTAAAAACCGATTGCCCATTTTCTTTTCCAGGAAATTGCATATAATATAATAATGCTTTCAAGCAGATACTTCATAATGACCTTGCAAACTTGATGTACTGTAGATTTCCAAACACCAATAAGATTTTCGAGTCGTACTTTATTCTGCTGAAGACGCCAACCAGTATATGGCAACAGCCATCTTTTTCTTAAAACCCAACGGCTCTTCTATAGTCTTTAGGACCAAGGCCACAGAATTTTGAATTTTAAACAATGATTTTAATTAATTTTCCTTTTTTCATGAGTAAATTTTTCCTAAAAGTTATTAAGTTCGCTTTTTCCGTACCAAAAAATAAATGGATTGGATTTCCCCCTTCTTTCTTTGAGGAACACTCAAAAGTTAGTCCTATACCCAAATAGTAAGAAAAAAAAACCTTTTCTATAAAAGTTCACAATTCTGAATCTGTGGATCATCCTATTTTATATGAAAATATAAGGATTAACTTACAGTACATAAATCTTGTCTGAACGCATAGCAAATTAACTTTTACTTACGTGTGTATATTTGTAAACTCATAATTATGTAAATTTGCACATATAAGCAAATTTTCGTCGTATGAATGAGGTGTATGATCCACCATTGTAGCCCCACCCTACCCATGGGGGGTTATGATTTGAACAAATTTAATTCTACACTACCCGAAAATGCTTCCATATAAATACTAGTATTACTTATCATGGATTTGCTATTCTTGAGAAGATTTTTTTATATTTCAATGTAAAACTTGGATCCCCCATTGTGGCCCACCCTATCCCCGGGGGTTATGATTTGAACAAACTAGAATCTACACTACCTGAGGATGATTCCGCATAAATATCACTAATCATGGCTTTGAAGTACTTGAAAAGACGATTTTAAAAGATTTCCCTATCTAGTCCTATGTAGAACTATGATCAGCCATTTTGCCTCCCCCTCAACCCCCAGGGGTCATGATTTGAACAAACTTGAATCTTCACTACCTGAGGATGATTTCACATGAGTTTCATCTTTCCTGGCCCAGTAGTTCTTGCGAAGAAGATTTTAAAAGATTTTTCCTATATATTCCTATGTAAAACTTTAATCAGCCATTGTGGCCCCACCCTACCCCCAGGGGCCATGATTTGAACAAATTTGAATGTACACTACCTGAGGATGATTTTACATGAATTTCATCTTTCCTGGCCCAGTGGTTCTTGAGAAGAAGATTTTTGAAAAATGCCATTAATTTTTCACTAATTCATAATTATCTCCCTTCGGAAAAGGGCTTGGCCCTTAATTTGAACAAACTTGAATTCCCTTCACCTAAGTATACTCTGTGGCAAGTTTGGTTGAAATTGGCCCAGTGGTTCTTGAGAAGAAGATAAAATGTGAAAAGTTTACGCTGACGCCCACGACGACAACGACGACGAGAGACAAGGGACAAATTTTGATCGGAAAAGCTCACTCGAGCCTCCAGCTCAGGTGAGCTAAAAATAGTTTTCCTATTCTCGAGAATTTTCAGTGATTTATTTTTGCCTTATCAGTATGTCAATTAAAAATAAAATAAAAAAGACAGATGAGCATTTTTATCTTAGATTAGAGTACTGTAGACGTACTTTTTTCGAGGGGTCATAATTACGTGGAATCTAAGTTTTTGTTTAATCCGCGAGTAGAAAATAATACGCGGATTTCTTAGATTGTCGCTGTATGCATTATATTTACATAAAGTACGCTTGGACAAATTTCCGCTGAAAACTTGTGACCGCGTACATAGCATTAATTAATACATTGTACCAAGCAGAAAAATGTACTTCTACAGGACCTTTACTGTTAAACAAGAGGCCCAGGGGCCTTGAATCGCTCTTCTGATAAATTGTACAACCTATCACTTCTATTTGAAGCCTCTAACCCTAAGTATCCTAAGACCCAAGTTGCATCAACTGACAAAGTTTGATGATTCTTAGCCAATTAGTACTGAAGATATTTTAATAAAGCTATTAAAAAAACCATAAGTAGGTCACAGT